CTCAAACCCTCAACCCAAAACCCGGACTAAAACCCCAAACCACAGACCCCAAACCCAAACAGCACCCTAGACCGGGTTTAGGGTGTATGGGGTTTTCTTGAATCTAATGTGTCATTTTACACAAAAAAATAGTTTGCAGTGATATTCCAAAAACGGAATTTTCCAGAAACGAGAGAAGCCCTGATATGCCCCAATCACTACAGGACCTATTGCAAGTACTACCCAAGAAGTTCCCTTAGCGTGTTGGACAGCCCCCATCCAGAACCAGTAGCCCTCAATGCGCCCCCTAAACCCATCCAGAACCATTTTTCCTCAGCGCGCCCCGGGCTCCTTTCTTGCAGGTGGCGCTGCGCGAAGCCAAAGCCGCTGGCCTTGCAGATGACACTGAGTTGGTGGCCGAGGTGAGCTACGGACTAAATTTAGGGTTTAGGGTTTTGGCGGGGACCCATAGGGGACTATATGGGTTTGGGGGGACCTATAGGGGACTATATAGGGTTTTGTGGGGCTATTAAGGGATATACTACCAATTTAGTTGGTGGTCGAGGTGGACAGGGCAGAAAAGGGTTTGCTTGTGTCTACATTACTGTTACCATAAATGTTTTGATACCTAGACCCCCAGAGTATATAGAGAAATTGCCTTTTGGGCTATATTTAGGGTTTTGAGCCAGTATCTTACCTACTCTTGGGGTCCAGGTAATAATGTGTTGATGATTATTACACTTCTTCTTACATGCAGTTTTTCCAGTACTCTTACTCACGGGTTTGAGGCTTTGGATGGCTTGAGGGTTTGGGGAGATTAAGTTGCAATTCTCGACAAGGAGCCGCGCAAAAATGGTAATGCTGTCATTGCACTTCTTGGTCCTATTCCATAACTTTATCCGTAGGAGTGTGATCATTTCTGTTTTTGTTGTTTTATTGTGACTTATGTCTTGTAATACTTGTCGTTCAGGCTATCATCATCGCGTTTGAACTGAACCTAAAGATTTCCCGCCGACCCTAGACCTCAGGGCCTAAATACCACATTTGCCATGATGATGTGCTAGGTACAAGGTAAATTAAGCCCCTAAAGCCAGAGCCCTACAGTGGAAACCTGAGGTGTTTCTTGTATTGTTCCCTCACAACCCTTGAGCAACTACGAACTTCCCAAGACTTCCTTGGAAAAAGCAGGCCACCTCGCTGTTGCAGGACTGCATTATCGGGGCTAGGCTGCCAGGGGCTGTTGGGGTTTTAGGGGTTTAGGGGTTTAGGGGTTCAGGGATCTAGGGGTTTAGGGGTTTAGGGGTTTAGAGGGTTTAGGGGTTTAGGGTATAGGGTTTAGGGTTGGAGCTTTGGGGTTCTAACAGAATTTAGGCACGTTGAGGGAATTAGGGTTTGGGGCGCAGGGTTTAGGGTTTGGGTGGGGCACAGAAAGGGAGGTAGGCAGACGGATCGCACATGAGGGGTAATAGCTCTCTAAAGGAGGTTCCAGAAGAAACCAGATTGCGACATGCTGATGTTCATGTGGTCTGTTGAGAGCTGTATAACCTGCAATTCAATCGGTTTGCGTGGGTTCTTTCACTTGCAGAAGTCCTACTACGGGTCACCACACATCTTTGTAGACATCTTACCCGTCCGCTTTGACAAAGCTCAGTTCTGGTTACGCAAACAGAGGTCTCCAAGCGAATCGACTTTGATAGTGGCTAGTCCCCGCCCTCTTCCAAGCACTCTGCCAGGGGCAAAACAAGTTGAAGACAGAACATCAGGCATTGCCAATCCTTTAGCCGGTGCGTTCATCTGCTTAGAACATCCAAATATCTTTGAGCCTCCCCGTTGGAGAATCCTTGAACTTCCCTATCGGAGAATTCCCTTTTTATGTCCTGCGTCCCATCGGATTGAAGGGAGGACGTGAACAAATTGCCAGGCTTCCCGCAGGGGTCCGCCAAGACCGTCAGCCCTCATAGTCCTGGAGCTCTCGGCCCTAAACCCTAAACTCCGCACCTTAAGGTCCAAGCCCAAATGCCAAACCTCTTAAATCGTTTTGTCTACATCTTAATCCCAAAGGCTATGCCCCGAACCTTATGTGCAATTCCAGCGTCGCTTGGGCTCAAGTCTTTAATGGAACGCATGAACAGTTGTTTGGGAAGATTGAGATCCTTTGTCCTATCTTGTCTGGGGATACCAGAGATCATGGTCTGCTTCTGTCTTAATGCAAACAGGGGAGCAATCTTGCGGCGCTTAAAGACAAAAAGCCTGCTTCCCTAAGACCCAACTTAAAGAGCCAGCTAGCCATGGTTATGCTAGTTATATGAGGTAGAGAATCTGACCTGGTCTCATTTGACCACCAAGAGGAGACACGCCGCCCCCTCCCCCCGCTTTTATTTGCAGGAGTTTAAGCTATGCCAAGGCTCAGATGAGCCATAGTCTAAATCCCTAGTATCCCCCTTAATAACCCCCTATATAACCCCATATAACCCCCATTTGAGGATTTTAGACCCTAAAACCCTAATCCCTAAACACTATATAATCCCCCATATAGTTAACCCTAAACCTTATATAATCCCCTATATACCCTCCCCCCGTTTGAGGAGTTTAGACTCTAGCTCAGATGACTTGCCATGGCTGCTGTGGCGCCTCGGTCTGCTATCGCGGAGTCATATGGCCGTCAAGAAGAGGCCCTTCCAGTGGGATCATATGGGGGTTTTCCAAAATGAGGGGTACCTTTCTTGGGTGGACTGGGGAGTCATATTGGGGTTATATTGGGATAACGGAAAATGAGATGGAAACTACTATTTCGGGTTTAGGGTCTAAACTCCTTCAAAAGGGCTTATTTAGGGGATTATATAGGGTTTGAGGTTAGCTATATGGGGGATTATATAAGGTTTAGGGTTCAGGGATTAGGGTTTTAGGGTCCAAACTCCTTAAACGGGGGTTATTTGGGGTTAGATAGGGGGTTATATAGGGGACTATTATAAGGGATTTTTAAGGGGGATACTAGGAGTTTAGACTATAGCTCAGATTGGGGTTTCCAAAAATCATGGTAGCTGGTTTGAGAGTCCGCATATGGGGACTGCAGTATGTTGGGTGTTCTAGAGGAAGGGGAAAGACTTCGCTGCGAGAAATGCTGATGTAGGTGCCTTTGCAACTTTTAAGAGCTGTCCACGCTTTGGCAACTCATGCAATGGTGGACAAGGCTTCATTTCGGATCTATGCAATACATACCCTCCCAGGCTGGTTCGCAGAAACCCTACACTCCTAAACCCCATTCCCCTTAAGCCAAACCCATCTCTAAGCCCTGCGCCCTAAGCCCAGAGGCCCAAACTCTACACACCAGCCATACACGAGGAAAGCTGTGGCATGGTAGCCGAGCACCAGCAGACGCAGACGCCGTCAGAGGTCCAATCCTCGGCTGGAAGGAGGGTTCCGTAGTTTTCTGGGGGTTTACCTGGCTGTTGGTACATCTTTCATGCTTATGTCTACCTGACCCCGATACTGTTCAAACGCGATCATTCACGTGGTACTTGAAATTCAGTCTCGTTTGAGACGGCTTTGTCGTTTCGTGTTAAGCGGGCTTCTGTTTTGAGGGCAGCTTCAAAAAAGAGGACTACAAGACCGGCAGGGCATGACAGAAGGAGCTGATACACTTCCTTCTCGCTGCATTTTTTTGCGGGGCTACTCATTCGGATGGCAGGTGCCCGTGGGAATGCAAACCATCAAACTTGAACAAGCAGAGCGATGTCAGCACTTGTAGGCACAATACATTGCTGCACAAGTTCTTCTTGTTGCGAGATTATTGAATATTCGAAATGCAGATAGCAATGACAACTGTGGACGGTGTGTATAGTAGGCGGAGCGCTAGGAGCATGAGTGGTAGCTGTGCTGGTGTAGAAGGGGTGGAGTAGTGGAATGGTGACCATGTCTAGTAGAACGGGAGAGCGCTGGGGTGTGGCGGGTGCTTCAGGTGGTGTTGCATACATTTCAGGTTGGTTTTCTCTGGCCGGCGCACAGCAAAGATTGTTGAACACTTTAGGCTTGCACCTCATAACCGGAGTCCTTCCCACAGGACCTCTGGATCTTCCTTCTCAGATTTCCAGAGAGTCGCAGCAAACAATTCCCTGACGGACCATTTCCTGCACGTTAATTCTCAGTTTTTGGCCTCTTGTCATCTATGGCGATTCGACCTCAGCCGATCCTCCCCCACATGCTGGTTAATCTGCAAAGGCCTTATTGCAGATTTTGAAACAATGCACCCCAATCCCTGAACCGCTACCTAGACCCTCCTCCTACCCTCTATTAGGGCCTAAGTACCTACTATTAGGGACCATATATCCCCAATTAAGGGTACAAGGAGGGTCCTGGTAATTCATCCTAATCCATTGAGGACGGAGATGGAAACCTTTGGATCGTCCTGTTCGCCTTTGTGGCGCTGCTGTCCACAGCCATCTTCTACATGCATGTCAGCGGCTCATTTCCCTGCCGTCTAATAGTTCCATGGCCTTGCACCCCCCGAATAACATTGAGGGTTCCCAGTATCGGCTATTGTGAGGATTTCTTTTCAGGGGGCGGTGGGTTTGCGGTGAGGGGAAGGATGATTTCTGCAGGGCAAGTCATGGGTATGTTTGACACAAGGCTCATTTGAAGGCATGCCGCACGCTTGCTGAGGGACTTGCTTGCCGCTACTAGCGGCCTATAGCACTAGTCCCTACAAAGCTCAAAACTTAGATTCTCTGCCTGGAACTGTCACACGTGTTTTTTTTGTCTTATCTTTTGCTGGAGCTTTTGAGGTCGGGAGACAAGGGCAGAGCTCCAAACTGCTCAGCCCAAACCAGCTGGACAAGTTGAGCGTGGCTGAACTTGAAGAAGTTAGACTCTGCTACAAGTTGGTCCTGATAGATTTAAGGGTTACAGTAAGGGTGTGTGGTCCAAGATGCCTACGTTCTGCATCTTTCCTTCAATTCAAAGATTTCTAATAGAAGCCTTGAGAAAGACAAGTAATTGATGTCACAACCAACAAAGCTGAGAACATGTCCATCGACTCTTTGCACAAACTCGACGGTGGCCTGGTGGACCGTCTCCGGCTTTTCAACTTGAATGCCTTTCACAAGTTTGCACCCGTGCTGCTTGGCTATACGATGGATATGTTTCGTAGGGTTTCCTGTCCACTATCATTCGTGCAAGTACCCTAAGGCTCTAGGGGGCCATATGGGCGTAAGTCTAGAGTCTAGAGAGGCAGGCAGGCCCTTTGCGTTCGGAAGGATTCCCTTTGAGCCTCACCCCTCGGATGTGTTCCTTGTGGGTGTGATGGGGAGCGGCATCACGATGCTCACCCAAGTGGCGCATGGGCTTCGATCCAAAGGCGACATGTCCTTCGACGACATCAACGAGGTGGTGCCCTGGTTTCATGCTGCCCAGATTTGCGGGCAGGATTTAGATGCATTGCAGCCTTATAAGCCGCGATTGTTTAAGACGCACCAGCTACACGAGAAGTTGCCGGAAGATGCAAAGTTTGTGGTTCTATTTCGAGATCCTCGCAAGATCTTTCTGACCAGATACCGCCGATATTGCAATAGTTCCTGGACGGACTATGCTCGAGTTCCCCGTGGAGCAATTTCGTTGGAGAACTTTGCTGTGGGCATCTTCGGACATGAGTCCGGCAACGAGGTGGGCATTTCAGAAAATTTGCCGCCCGCTACATACCATGTGAGAAACATAGGCCTGATGAAGGCATTCCCCGAAAGTCCTATTGAAAGGGATCCCCTGAAATCACCCCTATGTCACCTGAAATCAGCCCTATATCCCCTGGAATCACCCCTATATCCCCAGGAAATGTAGCCAAGGTCACGTGCTAATTTGTGAACCCCCAGGTGTGGAAGTTCATCAGGTCGCCGGGCCAGAAGCTAGCTGATTTTTTGTCATTTCTGTCATTGCTATTGCTATGTCTATGTCCCAATATTAGCAATGGTCGTGCCATAGCAGGCAGCATGGTCATGATGATATCTGTTGCCCACTTACTCTTTTGACGACTGCTGTGGTTGGGATAGTTCTCAAAATCCACTCTACACTATCCTTGAGTTAAAGCGGTCCCACAATCCATCGCTGGCTTTCCTAGCACGCTCCTATTTTGAGGAGCTCCCCTTATCTAAACCCTAAAGCCTAAACCCCAGGATCTTCGACTTAAAAACAGGTCATGGCTCGCTTGCTGCTGGGGGACCCAGAACGTGTGCTGGCCCCAGTTGTACTCATGGTTGTATAGGGGATTATATAGTGGAGTATTATGGGGTTAGTAATTAAGGAGTTTAGATTATAGCTCAGGTTTGACTGCACTGTGCCTCCAAGAATCAATGGGGCCTTTTTGGGTCCCCCAAACAAGAGTTATAGTAGTTATTGCCCTAGTCTTAAAGTTTGAAGTATATAAGTTATGTAAGAAGTTACAATAGTTATTGTCTGAGTCTTGAGGTATTTGAGCGATACAGCATTTTTGAAATGCACCCCTTGGAATTTTGTAGCAATCACCTGGGGCTGCAGTTTAGGGTATAGGATAGGGTTCATCCGATGAAAGTAGGGCTCCACTTAGTAGGGAATATGGGGATATATTCTATAGTCTATAGGGTTTATGTATAGATGATATTCCCATATTCCTTAATAAGAACCAGTAGGCCAAGTAAGGATGTCCGAGTTGGTAACACTTGGTATCTCGCTACTGTACCGTATCTTCTTCGTGCCTCGTGGGGCTCAGACCTGCTGCCAACATGTACTACACCTGAACCCCAAACCCCTAAACCCTAAACCCCTAAACCCTTAAACCCTAAACCCCTAAACTCCTAACCCCCAAA